AATAAAATTAAGTTTATATTATATCATTTTCAACAAAAGTCCGTACCTTCAAGTTTTCCATACATAGCTGTACATACTGATAAAATCGCCTAAAATGTTGCGGACAGAGAAAGAGAGACAGACAGAGGGATATACGCACATGGGCACATATATTAGAATTGCCCCACAGATAGTGAGGTTAGAAAAGGGAACTTTACTTGTGTTATGAGATAAGGAAAGTTTAAGTGAACTCACCTTTCAGATTCAACGATGAGATTTAAGAGACACACCATGACCACGAGAAGGAGAACTGCGAACTTCATTTTAATCAGCTGAGGAAAACTAAAAAAAAAAAGATTTTCTCAAATTAATTTCAAATATAATCATATCCTTAGTTCATACATTTAATATTAATGTAATAAAACAAATTAGTTACTATGAATCAATTAGTTTTATTATTTTGATTTGATTTCATCCATATTAAATTGTCAATACATTTTTACATGGAATGATATTTTTAATATTATAATCTCAAATATACAATTACTTTAAGTTTATGCATAAAAAAAACATACAAATATCATAAAGTAAATTCTTACATTGTTATAAAATAATAAAAATTTATTATTAAGTCAACACACGATGCACAACGGCTGGGAGAATACAAGTGTTCTGTTCAAGACACATAACATTCATATCAATTTTTAAATGTAGATTTTATAACGTGGCTTGTTTCTATTGGTTGGTATTAATGAACAACAGTAGTAATAAATCCAGCTTATAGAACAGGTTGACAGCAGATTTTGAAAATTAGTCTCGCATACCAGAATGGGAATTGACAAGTAGAACACATTATAATAATCACAAGCCTATGTGCTGCACATATTTGAGACACATCTTAATCAAATGTCCCGAATTAACGGTCAATTTAGTTTTCATAGATAAATCAAGGTATATACATTTCGAAATAAAAGAACGCGATATAGATTGAGTTAGACATATACTTTAAGCAGAATGTCTTTTGAAAGATGTAAACACATATAGATCTAGGCCAACATTAGACAAAACATATTTTTTTATATTATGGAAGACGGTTTTACCATATATTTTTAAAATTTTTTATCTTGCAAATAAAGTCAAAATGTTTTTTTTTTAATGTTACCGAATACAGTTAAACACACCATCACCATATGCTCACTTGCGCGCGTATAATCCCACACATCAACACACACACACATCCACACACACACTTACATCCACACACGTTAGTCTTCAATGTACACTCTGATTGAACTGATAATGTTCATGTCAAATTATTATTGTGGAATGTATGTTCACTTTTATGTACTGTTCTGATGAAACATATAATGTTCTTTCTTCTTTACTGCTATAACAAATAATGTTTATAATAAACACTAAAATGTTATTTGAGGAAATGTTGAGTGGTGGCATTTTAATGAAAAATCTACGAGCTAAATTCCGACAACCTTGCTTTAAAAGAAACGGCATTTTTCTAAATTTGGACATCCTACCTTAAAAGAAACAGCATTGTGCTAAAGTTGAACAGCTCTGCGTTAAGAGAAACATCCTCTGCTTCTTTCTTAATTCTAATGTTGGACATGACTTGCCGAATCTTTCTGGATGTGCTCCCATGTAGTATTTTCCCCCCTAGATAGGTTGCTGCCCCCCCCCCCCCTGTCGAGCCTCATCTGCCGGGGATCACGCACATGACATGCCACTGTTTAGCTCCATAAGCTGTTTTGTTTAGCTCCATTATAAGATATTTTTAGCTCAATAACACACATCTGTTTTGCTCCATGAAAAGATCTGTTAAGCTCTATTACTTGCATTGTTGATCTCAAAGCTACCACCTGCTTAGGCCCCTAATCCGATTCCCCAGCCTAGGGCCCATTGTTTACACTGTAAAGTGATTTGTCGCCTGACGTTTGTAGGATTTAGATGTAATTTCACAAAGCCGTGGATAGTGTCTTAATGACCTAATTATCTAGGTGTGTGGCGTTAGGGAAGTGATGAGAAAGGCTCATTGACCTTAAATTAAACGTCTTTTTCGTTTTGTTGAAGGAAAATATTGGTTCAATGATAAAGAGAGGATTTTGGGAATAAGAGTTAGCAGAGACGTGAAGAAAGAGTGTGCAATATTGCTGTTTATAATTATAATAAAAATCTTCAATCTAATATTGAAATTGAATAATAAATCATATTTGTTACTTCCCATGTCAAAAAATCTACATCGACCAAGGGATGTATCCCTGAAGCGAAATACAATAAGAAATTTAAATTAATTAAATAGTAACAAAAGAATTGCGATAAATATTCCCTTCTTTAATTAAAATCTTGAGATTATCTACCTTATCTGACTGTGGTGCAATCTTCTCTATTTACTTAACGTTAGAATTATCATTATACCCTAAATTAAAAGAGCCATAGCCTGAATGAATTATTTTACTTTAAAATTTGCGAAAGTTACTTTCATTCAGCGTTGCAACTGATAGTTATTGCTTCCCTCCTTCTAGTGTATTTTGTGTTTGCCTCTGATTAATGGTATTACTAACCTTACAGATATAGATCTAGTATTTTAGATATTCGGTAACTTAATTTGTGTTGAGGAGAAGTGCCTTTTCGGTAGAAAATTATCATTTACACTGTGTATAATAGATAGTATGATGAATTATTAAAAACATTAATAATGTAAAATTCTGCTTTAACTTTATGAATTATTTTTCCAATTGCATTTCGTAACTAACATAAATAAACCGGAAGTGATCTCCCCTGAACTTTCTCGAATATTCTTATATAAAACAACAGGGGATGGGAACTCGGGCTATAGACATGATTTTTAATCCATTTTAAATACTTAAAGTTTTAAAAATAGAATAAAATTTCGTAGACAAAAGAATTGCACACCAAGTGAACGCCAAATAAAAAAGTGCATAATAGTGCGCAATATTATTAGTACTTTAAACATTTACATTAGTTTTTTGAGAACACGGAAGTAGCGTAAATTACTACTTCCAGTCAACGGAAATTACTCCAAATTTAACAGAAGGTAGAGAATTAGATCTTATACTTACATGTGAAATTTCATTCATCTATGTGAAATAGTACTCAAGTTATAGGCTTTTGAAAAATTCAAAGTAGAAAAAGTACCACTTCCGGTTATCGGAAATCGCTCAAAAGTTGATACGGATCTACGATTTTGATAAAATACTTATATATGAAATTTCATCAACCTAGCTGTAACGGTACTCAAGTTATCGTGTTTACACACAGACGGACACACACACACACACGGACAGACAGACAGACACACAGACATACGGACACGATTGCAAAATTATGTTTATCCGTATCAGTGAGATGTAAAACGTCGAGATTTGTAAAAATCTCGATTTTTTTGTACACGATTACAAGACTTTCTCTATACTTCGTATAAACGAGAAAGTAAAAAGGAAACAGGCCTTCCGATGAATAGTAAAAAGCAATTTTTTTTGTTCTTCGCCGCTTCTCGCAAAAAAGTTGCAATAGCAATCATTGGCGTAGCGAGGTCGGGTGTCACCCGGTGCGGCACTTAATGGTGTCACCCCCAGAGGCGTAGCGACCCTTCCCGGGGAAAAACTTTCAAATTTTCGATTTGCACCCTCACCCTGAAACTTTCGATTTGCACCCCCCCTCAAGTTTTTCTCTATATATTTTGCTATTTTTTGCCTTCGTGTCAACCCCCTAAATGGTGTCACCCGGTGCGGTCCGCACCCCTCGCCCCCCCCCCCCCCCCCCCTCGCTACGCCTCTGATGGCAATGTTCTATTATTAACTCAGTGTTAACAGTCAGGGGCAAAAACATTCAATGTGTTTATGTGTGGCCTGTTGTCAGGTCTCAACAAAATTTGTTGAGTAGCAAACTTAACAAAAGTTAGGAAACTACAGCCAAGTTGTTTAACAAAATTAAGAAAGTATAGGCAAGTGGTCTGACAAAATTTGGGAGAGTATAGTCTAGTGGTCTGACAAAATTTGGGAAACTGTAGCCAAATGGTCTAACAAAATTTAGGAGAGTATAGTCAAGTGATCTAACATAATTCCGGAAACTATAGCCAAATGGTCTAATTTAGGAAACTATTGTCAAGTGGTCTAACAAAATTTAAGAAATTATAGCCAAATGTTCTATCAACATTTAGGAAACTATAGTCAATGGGTCTAGTAAAATTTAGGAAGGATTATTTTTTATGAACACAGAATTCTTTAAAATATACCCAGCCAAGAGATAAAAAAAAAATTAGATTTTTAAATTTAATAACAGCTGAATTTGAATGAACTATCTCCATCTAATTTTAAAAGAAATATTAATTTAGGTCCGCAGTCAAAGCTTTTAATGCAAGTTTTTTTTGTAGGTATTAAAAATTAAGATACCAGCAAAACAAATGACACATAGATTATAGTCAATGTTTACAGAGACACTCGTGATAGCTAAGAAGTGATTCTCTAGATGGCTCAAATATTCTAGCAGCCAAAGCTTTTATTAGAAAGCAATTTTTGAAAATGATTCAAAACAAAGTTAAGTGCATTTAAAAGCTTATTATAGTTTTTTGGGCCTTTTCTAGACCGAAATGATGCGCATGGGCATAGCTCTACAATTACCTAGTTAGACCCGCTGCTTTCTCTGTCTGATTAACTTAACGTAAATAACAAAAACAAACAATAACTAGCATTCTAATCAGTGGCCGTAGATCAAGGAACCATGCCGTAAGTATAAAAACCAGTAAACTCTCATCATTTTATTTAAGCCTTCTACACACTCCATAGCTCCACGATTCAATATGTAAGTAAACGCTTCTGAACAATAATAATTGATACAGAATATATCGTTCATGTTCAAAAAGGTAAATTCAAACAATCAAATAGACAAAAAAAAGTTACATTATACACAACACTATTAAGTATAAGTAATTTGTTACGAGAAATAAACGTTATGAGGACAAGAACAAATTAATTTGGAAACTGTCTTTAATAAATACAATTTTAGACCAAAAGTAGCATTAAAAAATAAATACTAAAATATTTTTATGGCAGCGTAAAACATAATTAGTAACATGTCGTTAGTAATAAAATGAAAACATATCAATAAGCAAATGTCTACATATTTTATAGCAACTTAAAACAAATGCAAATAACAAATTAAAATTATCAATTTATAGTTTTATACTGATTTTTTAAGTATTTAAAAAGAAACATTTCTTTTCAACTGATTTGTAAAACATTTTAACATTTGAGAGACAGCGGAATCAAACAGAATCAAGAATAATTATTTTTAAATATGGGACTCCTCCATTAAACTTTACTCCTGGTTTTTCTCAGTGATTTATGGTACCTGCAGGAAGGTTTATTCCAGAGAGAGTTAAAAAGTTTACATTCTGTGATGGAATTTTTTATGCTGGGCAAAAGAAAACAAAACGATTTTTCTTCGTATTTTAAAAGTTAACCTGCGCCATCTAACGACAGATCTTTAAAGTCCAGTAATCGTCACATCAACAATACCATCATCTTTTGTTATACTTACAGTTATACTGTAAAACAATTACCCCAGATATGCCACTTAATAAAACCTTCCCTTATGTATTATCATGTACTAAACTCTTTATGCAGCCGTAGAGTTTGGCTCTAAATCTAACCATGATGTAAACGAAATTATATCTGGCTTAGCTAAGTAGACATATAATCTAGAGTTTTTCTGTTTGCACTACGTTTTCGTTTGTTTGTGTTTGCGTTAGTGTTACATTTGCGTTTGTTTCTGTTTGAGTTTGAAACTACGGTTGCGTTTTTTTTCGTTATTGTGTTTGTGTTGTTTTGGTGTTTGTGTATGGTTTGTGTTTGGTTTAGGTTCGCTTTTGCGCTACGTTTGCGTTTGTTTCTGAGTGTGTTTTTGTTTTTGTTTTGGTTGTTTGTGGTTAGAGTTAAGTTTGAAGTTCAAGTTAATTTTGTGAAGGGTCCATATTTGCATATAGAGATTTAATTGAAAACATAACTATTTCATAAACCCGAAAAATGCCGGGTATATGCTGTTTAATAAACACACAAGTCATGGTGCTTTACAGATAGGTTATTCACAGAGGACAGAGCAGGGATGGCCGGGATGGTTAGTACTTTATAAAGTCATTTTCGTTTTTTTAAAAATCGGAAATTGCGTAAAGTACTACTTCTGATCAATGGAAACGACTCAAAATTTGACAACAGGCAGACAATTAGATCTTTTACCAATATGTGAAATTTTGTCTATCTGTCTGAAACAGTAGTCAAATTTTAGGCTTTTGAAAAACCAAAAGTAGAATGAGGTTCACTTCCTGTTACCGAAAATCGCTAAATAGATAATAAAGAACTACAAATTTGAATACTTATAGATGAAATCTCATCAACCTAGCTGTTACAGTACACGTGCAGACAGACAGACAGACAGACAGACAGACAGACAGACAGACAGACAGACAGACAGACAGACAGACAGACAGACAGACAGACAGACAAACAGACAAACAGACAAACAGATAAACAGACAAACAGACAAATAGACAAACAGGCAAACAGACAAACAGACAAAAAGATAAACAGACAAACAGACAAAAAGACAAACAGACAAACAGACAAACTAACAGACAACTAGACAAACAAACAAACAGACAAATAGCAGATAGAAATTTGATTCACTGAATGTTGCGAATTTTTTTTTATTAAACAAAAAAAAAAATGGACGTTGCCCTATGTTCGCGAGCAATTTTTTGTGTTTTATGTAGTGTGTGTAGGGCATTGAGATCCTCCGAATCATGGTTAAAAGGAGGGTGGGTGAGGTTTGACAGAATAAATGTTTTAGGAAGGGTACGGGTTCGGGTTACGAAGAGTGCGGTATGGGGGACGGGTTGCTATGAGCTGGGGGGTGTGGGATTGTTGGTGATGGGTTGGGTGCTGATAATTCGATGTCGTTTGAGGATTATAAGCATATTTATAATTATGCAATACACCTTTTATTATAAACTTATAAATGTTAAAAACATAAACAACATTCACGATAACATACTTTACCCTTTATTTTTCAAATTGAACCACAAGTATTCCCTGTGCTAAAAAACAAAAATTATGATTCAATTACAAATTGTATTTTAACTCACAAAGCTAAAAAAATTAACACTAATATGAAATTAATTGGATATTAAACTATTGGAATAATTTGCTGAGGTAACTTTTCTTCTGCCGCCATCCGATTATAATTCTGACACCTATGGCTAAAGTATTTTGAATATTCCTAGTTTCCGTATTTCAGACTTGTAAACATTTTAAAATAGTCATGTGATTTCACGCCTAAAGCTAAAGCAAATTAGCAATTCTATAGCTATATTTTTTGTCACTACAATATTGTTGATATCTTACTTTAATACTTAAGTTGAAACTCTGGCGCCCATCCATCTCATATGAAGAGATAGAGTTTCTATTAGGTCCGTCGGATAAGAAAATTGTAGCTTAGACTACGGGAGTGATCCCGGTACATTACTTAAAGTCACGTTATCCCATTAAATATGGCGGTCCATAGACAGATAAAACGACTAATCTCGACACGCATTGCGGTTAGCTCTTTCTAGCAATCTTTACTTTCTCTAACGTGAGTCAGGTACTCATCAGAACAGGGAGAAAACAAGGATCGTACTGATTCCAACTCGAGACTTTAGGGTTACCAGATTTAAATCTACTATTTCACCACGGCGTTCTTTTGGTACTTTATTTAATGCAATATATTAATTAACAAAACGATGATTCGATTTGCCTGTGGTCGATCCATATTTTAATAAACAATTTTTTGAGAAATTTAACATTTCACATGCACTAGGTCTTTCATGGCCTTTTATAAATCTGGTTTAATGAAAAGCTATAGTCTCGTGTCCTGTTTTACTTACTGCACTAGATGTACAACACCCTTTTTATTCACATTTGTGGTGTTTGGGTGTGAATCATGGATGTTACAGTTAAATGGTAATATTTTCAAAAATAATATAAAATAAAATACTTGTGAATTTTAACATTTAAATATGAGAACGTTCCACACCCCACACCACTATATGATAACTTATAGTGTCGATATAATATTCCGCTTAACAAAGAAAGTACTCTCAAATTTAATTAATTATATCCATATTCAATACCTCTTGATGTTACACTCAAGAAAAGGGCAGCAATAGAAGCCATGACCACACCTATCACCAATTGCTTTACAACAACTGTTAAAACATAAAGAAGAAAACACGAAGCAGATGTTTGAGTTATATGATAAGAAAGTAAAAGTAACTCAATGGAACTATTCATCGTTTGGTGCACAATTAGTTTACAAAAAATAAATAAAATAAACTTGTAGGCCTACAATTTAATTTTTTTGCATTGGTAATAATGTTTACTTTTACTTTTTATAAGCATAGGCGTGGATAGGTAACACTATTGAAGATGTCACATCAATTTAAATAATTGCTAATTCACAGAGTTACAATTTTCAAGTCTATTTAAAGTATGAATGTTAAAGAGGTCCAAAGTTTTAAGGAAGACTGACACAATCTGACTGCGAAGTGGGTCACAAGAAATGAATATAAAACATAAGTCTCACAAAGCATGAAAATAGACGGGCAGTGCTGGAAAATATTATTTTCCTTCGTTTTGCTTAAATTATAGAAAATAGGTATCTAACTCATGTTCGAGAAAGTAAAGGCGGCTGAGAAATGTGCTAGCTACACTATCCATTCATATGCCGTGGTTACAGAAACTAGTCAAATCTACTTTAATTGCCCAACGGATAGTGATGTTTTAAAAGGGATGTTTACTTTTGTTATGAGATAAGGAAAGTTTATGTGAACTCACCTTTCAGATTCAACGATGAGATTTAACAGACACACCAGGACCACGAGAAGGAGAACTGCGAACTTCATTTTAATCAGATGAGGAAAACTAAAAAAAGATTTTCTCAAGTTAATTTCACATTTTACTTTGATTTGACGCCACCCATATCAATTGTCATTACATTTTTACATTCGCCATTGAATGATTTGTTTAATATTATAATGTTAAAAATATGATTACTTTAAGTTTATACAAAAAAACTAACATACAGTTATCACAAAGTAAATACTTACATTCTTATGAAATAATAATAATTTATTATTAAGTCAATTTACGATGCACTATTGCTGGGGGAATACAAGGGTTCTGCTCAAGACACATTGAATTCAATTTTTCAATTTACGTTTTATTTAATGGCTGGCTTCTATTGGTTGGTATTAAATAACAATAGTAGTAATACATCCAGCTGATAGAAACACTTAGTAAATCTCTGTGGATGAACAAATTGACAGCAGATTTTGGAAATTAGTTTCGCATATCATGATGGGAATTGACAAGTAGATTACATTATAATAATCACAAACCTATAGGCTGAACAGATTTGAGACACATCTTAATTAAATGTGCGGAATTCATAGTAATTGCTGTGTATATGGATTTCGAAATAAAAGAACGAGATAAAGATTAAGTTGGACATACTTTAAGCAAAATGCCTTTTGAAATAAGTAAACACAAATTATGCACAAAATATGTCTTTATATTATGGTAGAAGGTTTTACGATAACTTTTCTAGCATTTTTATCTTGGAAAAAAAATTAAAAAATTGACCAAATTTTTTTTAATGTTACCGAAAGCTTGAAACTCACCATCACAATATGGGTTTGTCCATACATCTTGCATGTGCGCGTACACACCCACACACCCACACATCCACACACCAACACTCCTACAGATTCATACATCCACACTACCACACACACACACACGTTAGTCTTCAATGTACACATTGATTGAACGATAATGTTCATGGTCAAATTATTATTGTGGAGTGAATGTTCATTTTTATTTTTCTCGTATATACGAACTATAGAGAAAGTCTTGTAATCGTGCAAAAAAAAATCGAGATTTTTACAAATCTCAACGTTTTACACCTCAGTGAAACGGAAAAACATAATTTTGCAATCTTGTCCGTATGTCTGTGTGTCTGTCTCTCAGTGTGTGTGTGTGTGTGTCTGTCTGTGTGTAAACACGATAAGTTGAGTACCGTTACAGCTTGGTTGATGAAATTTCATATATAAGTATTTTATCAAAATCGTAGATCCGTATCAACTTTTGAGCGATTTCCGATAATGTTCATGGTCAAATTATTATTGTGGAGTGAATGTTCATTTTTATTTTTCTCGTATATACGAACTATAGAGAAAGTCTTGTAATCGTGCAAAAAAAATCAAGATTTTTACAAATCTCAACGTTTTACACCTCAGTGAAACGGAAAAACATAATTTTGCAATCTTGTCCGTATGTCTGTGTGTCTGTCTCTCTCTGTGTGTATGTGTGTGTGTCTGTCTGTGTGCAAACACGATAAGTTGAGTACCGTTACAGCTTGGTTGATGAAATTTCATATATAAGTATTGTATCAAAATCGTAGATCCGTATCAACTTTTGAGCGATTTCCAATAACCGGAAGTGGTATTTTTCTTCTTTGAAATTTTCAAAAGCCTATAACTTGAGTACTATTTCACATGTAAGTAAAAGATCATAATTCTCTACCGTCTGTCAAATTTTGAGTAATTTCCGTTGACCGGAAGTACTAATTTACCCTATTTTCGATTTCTCAAAAACGCATGTAAATTTATAAAATACTAATAATATCGCGCACTATTATGCACATTTTGTTTTGGCGTTCGCTTGGTGCGCAATTCTTTTTTCTATGAGATTCTATTCTATTTTTAAAAGTTTAAGTAATTAAAAATCATATCTATATTCCAAGTTATATAAGAATATTCAAGAAAGTTTAGGGGAGATCACTCCCGGTTTATTATATACTGTTCTGATAAAACAGATATTGTTCTTTCTTCTTTACTGTTATACCAAATAATGTTCATTATAAAAATTTAAATGGTATTTGAGGAAATGTTTAGTGGCGCCATTTAAAAGAAAAGTATTTTAGCTAATTTTGGACTGCCTTGCCTTAAAAGTAACAGCATTTTTTTCTAAATTAAGACAGCCTAATGGAAACTGATGGTAATGTTATTCTACGGCCGACGTCGTTACGACCTCCACCCCCAACCTGTGCTTCGCCTCTTCCCTCCCTCTTTTCTTCCTCTCCCCCCCCCCCCCCCCCCCCCCAGTCGCTAGATTTACCTTGTGACTCATCCCAAGCCGAAAGGCGTATATGGGACAGGCCGTCGCTGGTTCGATGAAAGGGCCGGTAACCGATGAACTCGGTCCTTTTTACCCTGATCACCGCCCTTGCTCAGCACACCTGCACGCTAACCCCCCATCCTGGGTATAGGTGCGTCCAAGAAATTAGCTTCTTAACAGAAGGGATTTGATTATTTAAAAAAAAAAAACCAACTAGAAATCTATAATATCGACCTTTATTATTATTGTCAGCATTTGATGTATTGTTACTATTACCTATATTGTTGTAATTTTCCCTCAACTAGAGTTGTATTTAATGAGTATCTCTCATTACTATATCCCACAACATTATTATATTCTACACCTGTAACGCTAGATATTTGTTTTTGATAGCAATATTTAGTCGGCCATGCCTTCTATTTACAACGTCTTAGGTCGTGGACCAATGCTATTGTAACAGACAAGACAAGCGCATGTGTACACTCTGGAATCCTAAGCTATTATAAAGTTAGGTAGATTCTATATGTATACCGAAAATTTATAATTAAGGCAACACTTATTACATACAAAAATCTGTAATAAATATATTCATACCCTTAGGGTTATTATTGTTATAATTTTACTATCAGTTGTACTGTATTTACGGTAAAGGGGTGGCTCTGACCCCCCACCGGTTGAAATATATATATAGTAACATGGTACAACTTACCTTTTTACCGTTGACAGAAACAGCATTGTGCTAAAGTTGAACAGCTCTGCATTAAGAGAAACAGCTTCCGCTGCTTCTTTCTTAGTTGGACATGACTTCCTCCTACGCAAATAATAATGAGGTGGTGGGGAGTGGTGGGGGTATAAGTGTATGCCCATTCATTTATAAGCCGATTAATAGAGAATCTGATTTTTAATGGTGTGTATGTATTGCAGGCCATAAAAAAAAAACCAATGTAAGGATAAGGACTGATGATATTTTGTGATGGGTTAATGCGGAGATGAGCATGCTTTCACGATTTGTCATTTTATAAACTACTATAAGCATACTGTCTAGTTTTTCTGAATTTTTCTAAAAACATGTGTCTAAAATCCTACCTTTTATATAAGCTGTATAATAATGAAACAAATACCTTAACTTGCACGACAGCTACTTTAATACGAACATTTGAAAGGTAAAAAAAGTATTTTAATCATTAATTACCAAGAGATTTCCGTCTTTTGTAATCACCTGATTTAATAAATGTCGATAAGATATCTTTGTCTGGAAGAGTGGCGGGGGGGGGGGGGGGGGGTGAAGGGAGTGTTAGGGCTTACACCTGCTATCACAGAAATCCCAAGTTCAGATCCTGGATTCAAGTCTGCAGGATAAACTATACTACACCTGCAAAATGGACCTTGATTTCTTTAACTGAGGTATTTAAAATTAAACAATGCCGGCATAATATTTCTTGGATCATACTTGTTGGGGTACGGGTTTGTCCACACTACCGCCCAGTACGTCCCAGGGCGTGCTCTATGAAAGCCTTGAATAATAACAACTCTAGGTAATAGTGAGGTAGAACACACTTCGGTGACCGTCCAGGTGACAGGGAAGTGAGGGGGAGGGGGGGCGCTTTCGTGAGTCCAAGGTTACACTTCTGCATGTCGTGTACTACCGTGTCAATAATGTAGGGTGCTCTTTAAAACTTATGTATACACCATAGTGCTGACTTGAAAGCCCGGGGAACAAAATCGCTCCTTGCTATGGCGCCAATTCAATTTAGTCAACGACTATTATACATGTATTCTATAGTACGGTTTAGCTCCATAACTAGATTTGTTTAGCTCCATGACAAGATCTTTTTAGCTCAATAACTCATCGGTTTAGCTTCAAAAAAAGATCTGTCAAGCTTCTTCTTCTTCTTCGTTCTTAATTTTTAGTGCTGAAAGGGATCGAGATTTATCTGCCAGTGGGTTTGAACTCGAGACTTTTTCGAATTTATCAACCATGAGCTTTTTGCCGACTCGACCACGCCTCCAACACAATTAAGCGTTACGTGTCAACTGGTTATCCGCCATTGAGGCCATTGATTCCGATTTTTTAATTTGCTACCATAATCTTTGTCCAACCAAGAACAAGGTACAAGGTAGCAGTTGGAGTTGTCTCTCCTAGAAGAGTGGCTGTCCCCAGCTAACGAGCCTCATCTGCCCGAAGGTTCGAACTCTAGACTTTTCGGTTCAGCAACCATGAGCTTTACCGACTCGACCACGCTGACCCCACTGTTAAGCTATATTACTGGCATTTTTTTTATCTCAACACTACCATCTGCTTAGTCCCCTAATCCGATCACCCGCCTTGGGTCCATTGATTTTTTGCCCGACGTTTGTAGGATTTAGATGTAATTTCACAAAGCCATTGATAGTGTCCTTATGACCTAATGATCTAGAAGTGTGTGGTGTTGGGGTAGGTTGGAGAAAGGGTTGACTTTAAATTATATTAACAGGTTGACGTGGCATTAAATAAACGGGTTGACTTGACATTACATTTGTTACAGGTCAGAGAGTGAGTAGCAACTGGAGAATATTAGAAGACATGAGTACACACGCAAAACCTGATCAGGCAGGGTTAGAAGAAAATGTTACTTCATGTCTTGTGTTAACTTGTGTCAACAAGAATAAAACAAAGCGACATGGCAGTTCATAGTGGAATTTTTTTTTATTTCTGGTATTGTAAAATTTAAACAACATTTCGAAAAAAATGTTTACACACAAACATGGAAGTTTTGTTTATATTTTAGTCTAAGTAAATTATCTAATTTCTTCTCCGGAGCCTTAGCAATTTCTCATTGTGCATCTGGGACCCCCATTTGTACATGGACAATTATTGCAGTCCTGATACCCGGTGGTGGCTTCTTTAAAATCGGATCCACCGTACCGTGTACGGGAACATTGTTGTGAGACCAGTGGCTGTGGGAACATCTGATACGCCCTCCGTTTCTTCAGGGCTGTCTGTGAAGAAAGGGCTGTCTCTGTCGTCAACTTCGTCATTCAAAGGGTGGTGTTCGATGGAAGGGGTGACTGAACAAATTCCCTCGCCTGATCTTGAACACAGGGGAAAGCCACTAAACTGGCAATGGCAGACCAGGCAATAGTCTGAGAGTTCAAACTCGGATCCTGTTGAAAGAGAAGAAGCAGGTAGTTTTAAAACGTAGAACTTTCCAAATGGAGGCGAAATGTTCACAATATATATATATATATATATATATATATATATATATATATATATATATATATATATATATATATATATATATATATATATATATATATATATATTAAACAACCCCCCCACCACCACGCACCCAGGTCACACACCGTCCTAAGGATATGCCCGAGCCCGACCTACCTGATTCGTGACCTCGTATGGTCACCGGGCTTACCTTTTCGACACTCCCAGTTGACCAGCCTGATGAAATTGTCGTTGATGTCGTTGACAGAGCTGGGCTCGCCACAGGTCACCCTGGCCCCATCATTCAGGCACCGACAGCGGAGACTTCCGGTATACCATCGGTCAGTCAACCTGATCACGTGATAAAGGAAACAATGGCGCGCGATAAATGTGCAGATAACAGATGGGCTTAAAATAAATGTGCAGATAACAGATGGGCTTAAAATAAATGGGTAGATAGCAAGTGGGAGTATTAGATGTAGCAGATATGTTGACAGTCGACAAATCAGGAACTTTGCATACATGTACATGACCCCCCACTTCACCCTCCCCCCCAAATTCACCCCCCCCCCCCACACACACACACACGCACGCACACACAATCAGCAGAGATATATTTGATGAGACGGAGAGCTGTGTGTTGCCAGTATTATTTCAAGCTTGACACTCAGTTTAGGTACTCATTAAAACTGATTTGACTCACTGAAATATCACTTACTCAATACTGAAATCGATGTATGGATAAGTTATCGATTACAGTTGCGATTACAAGTGTGTACACTGCCTTAACAAATTAAAAGCAGCAATGTACTGAAGGATTATGTGTACACTACTAATTAGGATTGCAATTTAGCAGACGTACTTGCAGCGATTGTGAGATACACGTACAGGCTGAGGATGCTCAACCCGCGTAGGTTGAAAGGGTTGATCTCCTTGTATCCCGTTAGTCAACCACTGCTTCAGCATACTGGGGTAGAAAACATGATGCGGTATCATGTCTTCGTCAGATCTCTTGTTTGGGTCTATATGTGGCTCATCTCTCTGTTGATCTTTCGTCCCTTTTCTCCCATCATGTTTAATGTTCCTATCACCAGGAAACAATTTCCTAACAATCTGATCCAGCTTGTTCTTTAAATGTTGACTGTCTTCTCTATAACTATCAAATTCCTGTCCTAGATCATTGACTTTATGGTTATGAGCTTTTTTAAAGTGCCTAGCTGAATTGAGATGTTTTTCTCTTTGATTTGTTGGTACATTATTTTGGAGTCTTGGCATTGGTTGGAAAGGATTGTCCCCGTATAATCCTTGATGTCTCGTCCCCTCACTGTTTTCTCCGTGATCTTGTGGCAGTCTATTGTCATTGAAATAATGCGAAGGTTGATACAGATCATCTCCAAACAAGTCGTTCAGGTTGTTGCTCTCATCAGTTTTCCTGTGGTGTGGTCTATCGCGAGTGAAAAGCCAATTTAATAGACGATGATTGTTTTTCTCTTCATCGTTTGGTCTACTGTCGGCATTGATATCTTGCTGCTCTTTGTGGTCATGTGATAACTCTCCCTCATTAGACAACTTGAAAAACTCTTTAAGCAAAAGCTCTATTAGGTTTTTCAGGTGTTGCTTGTCTGATCCATGACTATCTGACACATGTGTATAAACTTCGTTCTTGGTAGTTATCAAATATTGATTGGGTGGAAAGAATTCTACTTCGATATCATTTGTTCCGTGGTCATGGTGTTTCGACTTAATCAAATCTGTACTCTTATGGGTTGGTCGTTGTTCTTGGTTGATGGGGTTTGCCGAGGAATGGAAGGCATGGTCTAGATGGGAAAGGGCGGCGTCAATGAGTTTGGAGATGCCGTCGTCTTGTTGTTGGGAATGGTCGACGTGGTCTAGATGGGAAAGGTCTCTGTGGTGTGGTCGGGTAGGGTCGTAGTTACCCGTCAAGGAAGAGTCAGCGTGGTGTGGATGGGAAAGGCCGTCGTGGGTTGGTAGGGAAGGACTGTAGTGTCTCCTTAGGGAAGGGCCATCGCTGCTCGGTTGGGATAGGTCGTGGGTTGATATGGAAGGGCCGTGATTGCTAGGTAGGGCAATATTATCAATGTTGCTATGTGCATTACTGGCTTCGGCGCTGCAGAGCTGAACGCCGTCGATGTCGCAGACACAGCGACGGTCGTTGATGCTGGTGCAGGTGCTCTGGGACTGGTCCTCCCACCCCGGGACCTCGTGCCACAGGTGATGGACCAAATCTTTGTTCGGCTCACACGTGATGCCGCTCTTGCTGCACGTGCAATAGTACGAGCCGTCTCTCCACCTGTGGAAATATTCACAAATAGTCTCAGTCTATGGGGCATCAATCCTGCTCCTAAATAATACACACGTTGTCTCAGTCTATAGAACATCAACCCTGCTCCTAAATATAACACAAATTGTCTCAGTCTATGGAACATCAATCCTGCTCCTAAATAATACGCACGTTGTCTCAGTCTATGGAGCATCAATCCTGCTCCTAAATAATACACATATTGTTTCAGTCTATAGAACATCAACCCTGCTCCTAAATAATACACACGTTGTCTCAGTCTATAGAACATCAACCCTGCTCCTAAATATAACACAAATTGTCTCAGTCTATGGAACATCAATCCTGCTCCTAAATAATACACACATTGTCTCAGTCTATAGAACATCAATCCTGCTCCTAAATAATACACATATTGTCTCAGTCTATAGAACATCAATCCTGCTCCTAAATAATACACACGTTGTCTCAGTCTATAGAACATCAACCCTGCTCCTAAATAATACACAAATTGTCTCAGTCTATGGAACATCAATCCTGCTCCTAAATAATACACACATTGTCTCAGTCTATAGAACATCAATCCTGCTCCTAAATAATACACATATTGTCTCAGTCTATAGAACATCAATCCTGCTCCTAAATAATACACACGTTGTCTCAGTCTATAGAACATCAATCCTGCTCCTAAATAATACACATATTGTCTCAGTCTAAAGAACATCAACCCTGCTCCTAAATAATACACAAATAGTCTCAGTCTATAGAACATCAATCCTGCTCCTAAATAATACATTTTTAAACTAGGCATCTAGTATAAAAATGTTTAACTTTATCGATATGAAGATCTACCTGTGGTAAAAATTCCCAAAAATATATTATTTGAAATATATTGGGCAGTTGCATTCACAAGTAGTTTACACAATATAAGTAAAATAACTCAAGATTATATGCTAGGACAGTACCAGGGGTAACACAAGATTACACACTAAAACAGTAAACAGGAAAACAACTCTATCGTATATGCTAATGCCAAAAGAATCAGCTAAAGATTATCTACAGTAAAATAACATAATTAAAAAACTACGCCACACTCATAAGTATGCCTTACACCACATACATTAGAACGCACACTGCACACACAGAATTATCTTGAGATCCTATGATAGACTCACAGAGACACATCTGATGGTGTACGGCCTTGTCTTACCATAGATTGAAGCAACTCATGCAATTCCAGGTCTAAGGTTCTGATCACAATTATTCTGAGAAGCTGTGCTAGAAATTTGGATGCCCCTTGCATTAATTCTAAAACGGTTTCGTTTACAAGTCATCACCCCCACCCTCCACTCTTACTAGGGGACTTAAGTTATATTTGTCATTCTGTTTTATGATAATAATAAACTACTTTCTTTTAAGATATATTCTACATGTTCTTTTTAACTATCCATATCCCCTCTTTTTCATTTTTTCTTGAATTGTTATCACCTCTGTGATGACGCAAGTTCTAAAAAGGTCAGAGTTCAAGCAGGCGAGAGATAGAATAGCGTCGGTCAGGTAGATCAGGTAGACATTGGTCAGACAAGTAGACCAATAGAATTGTAGCAGGAGATGACCGGTCACGTGCGACAGTTAGCCAAACATTGACTTGTGGGCTGCAGTTGGAGGTAGGTAGACTTATAGAGTTGGTAGTGGTCAGACGTGTTAGGTCGGTCGCAGTTGACTAGGGGAACATGTAGGCAGTTGAATGTAGATAGTGTTAGAGTTGGTCATGGGAGCCTGTGTTAGTTGCAGTTAGATAATGTTAGTAAACAGTCATGTGGTAGAAAGTAGTTATGTCCAGTACGAGTCGAAAACTGATGTATAAATAAAAAACTATTGTATATCTTGAATTAGACGTGTGTGTTCGATTCCACACACTAGGCCTACCAGGCATAAATAAGAAGAGGCGATCGCTCGGAGTTGGTTGTATTAGGCCATACAAGACGGTATACCAATAGATATACATATATCTCCTTCACTCACAACCTCTTATATTTCCAAACCTAAACCTCAGTTAAAATTAATCTTTTTCAAACATAACCTCTAACACAAAACAAAGGGCAACCACCCACGTCACCATTTCATATTCCAGTTACCATTATAACAAAGATTGTCTTAACTCGCAAAAAGACAGCCAAAATAACCACGAACTCAAATGTAATATATCACCAGACTAGTCCACCCGTAGTAACTTGTTTTCATTCTTACTCCTCTTACATTTCATGTACTCTGACACTTTCGTTCCAAGGTAGGTAAATGAGAAAGGAAGATGACAAGTTCCATTTAAATGGATTATCTCCCTGCTTTTATCGAGTTATCCCTCTAAAATACACAACTGCTACATGGCATTAATTAAATATTAAAAACGCTGGTTGTTTTAAAAGTTTTAACATTGTTCATAATTATAGTTTTAATGATTACATTTTTCAAAATCAGCTATAAATCATTTAGTTTTAATTTGGTAATTGGTAACGGTAATGAATGTTATTTAAACTGAGTCTAAAGTTATGGGTAGCTAGGGTTAATGTTTGTACTGGTAAAACTTTGCTTATCATTTTTTTCCAGCGATTCCAGAACTTTGTAACCCATGTCTTACTGGAAAGTGCTGTGAGAATCCAGTAAAGATTGTATCAAATCTTCTATCTATAGGTTTTATCATGACATGATACGAATAATGAAACTGGACCAGCGGATTGTACACAAACATATAAATATACCAATCTGCTTTCACGTCTGCTTCATCTTCTGGCGTACCTAAATATTAAAAACCCATATATAATATGTAGCCTTTGTCTATTTGAAATTTTATTTGTGCTTCGTGAGGGTCGGGATGGTCGAGTCGGTAAAGTTCATTGCTGGTAACTGAAAATTCTCGAATTCAAACCTAACCCCCCCCCCCTTCCCTCCCCCTTGAAAAATATGATAATCAACTTTTAAAAAAAATAAAGCTTAAAAACAACAACTATTAACATGATAAAAATAGATTATACTGACGAAGAACCAATAGCCGTGCAGGGAGGTAACAACGCGACGAGACTCGAACACTTCTCTGTGGAGCAGACTGGTCCATTGGGGTAGCAGACACACCATTGACAGCCGTCGAACCACTTTTCTCCGGTACAGCGGTTCGAACCACAGGCGGGGTTCATGCCCCTGACAAACCCTGTCCAAGTCAGCTGAAGTAAGACGATGGCCGCCACAGGAAGTGGATTCTTCATCTTTTCAACTTAAAACATACGTTATATATATATATATATATATATATATATATATATATGTAACTAGGGGAAGTTACCAGAGATATAAGAACGCAGTACAGCGCTGTCAACTTTGACACGACTGATGTAATAACGCAGGTGTTGGCTGATAACGATCAGAAAGCCAAGGCGTAGTATCTTGGGAAGCGATACGAGGAGAACGCAATACGGTCTGTCAACTTTGATGTGACAGGATGCAGATGGCTTATTAAATCGGACTGTACGACAGAAGCGGCGTAATTAACATTCTGATGCAACGATTAGAATCGATTACGATTACGATTATGATAGAACCGAATACGATTACGAATACGAAGGGGATATATAGGAAGGCGACGGCTGAGCTCGCTGTCTCTCGCTCTCTCTCTCTCGATCAGTCAGTCAGTGTGGCAGTATCAAGTTGGTTATTGAACGGGTTAGCCGTATTGTGTTAAGAAGGACGATAGACATGTGCATTCAGTTATGTGAAGCCTAGTGAGGACTGTTGGGGGTCAGTTGATTCAGACTATTATTGTGAAGCATTCCTTTTGATTCATTATATTATTGTGAAGCATTTCTTTGATTCATGTAATAAAAGGATCAATAGCGAACCTGCATCTTCGAGTATCTATACTGTGGTCGATGTTGTGAAGAATGAGTGGTTAGACTCGGTAACATTTGGCGTTGTCGAGCAGAACTCGTTAACATTTGGCACTACAGGCAAATAGCCTCGTTACATTTGGCGCTGCGGACAGGATGAATTCAACTAGACTTGCCGCTTGAGGCACCCATAGTCAACCTAGTTCATAACTGTGTTTAGTGTGTGTGTGAATTCGGACATTCAGGAACAGTGAAAATTGAGGAACGAGGAAAATTTTTTCATACACACACGGTATGAAAGGTCTTTTTTTATTTGAAGGAAATAAATAAAAGGGAAGACTGAAATCAGAATTGAGGAAATTGAAAAGAACAGAGATGAGACACCTTTCATTATCATTCTGGCTTGGTGTCACATGCTCTTTTGCTGCTGCAAGCATGTGGCTCAGTATACCCCTAGTTGTAGCACCAGCCACCCTGGGGACAGCTATGGGGCTGACCACCAGCATCCAGATAATTGGCATTGGTATCTCCAACTTGGTTGTGGGACAAATACTAGGCAAAGATGACAACCAAGATATAGATGGAACTCTTAGACACTGGAAATGTGTCATGATCTCCCTGTTGGGCAACACTATCTGCTGCATAGCTGCAACATTTTTCCTTAATGTGAATGACAGACGCAGGAGTGGTATTTTAAATATCAGAAAAGAACAAAAACTCCTGCTGGCCCAACAATCTGAGCCAGATAAAGATAGCCCAGAGATAGGCAACGGTGAGGATGACCCTTTGCCTCCAGAGGGACCAGGACAAAATTTGGACAAAAAGCCGATCCATATTGTGGTCCTGCCCAGTGAGTCCCACATCAACAAATTTTACGGGGACGGTGATCCAACCTTAACCAACAGGTTCAGTGAAGAGGTCAGGGCTGCCTGGGCCTCGAGATACATGTCACCAGAGGAAAGATTAAGACTGCTGATGGGCAGTATAGGAGAGACGGTTAGGGCAGAGGTCAAATGCCACGATAAAACCATCCAATCAGATCCAGATAAGGTGCTGGATCTAATTATGGAGACCTTTGGGGAGAGACGGTCGGGATCGCAACTGCTAGCGGTGTTTGTAGGTATAAAGCAGAGACTGGCGGAGAGTGTGATGGAGTATTCACACCGAATGAACAGGGCCTTTGAAGCTGTAAAAGGCAAAATACCCGACATGGATGCGCGCCTGCTGAGGGACCATTTCATCGAGGGGCTGGCGACCCCTATGGCAAGAAGATATTTGAAAGAAGAGGTCTACAAAGACACACAGTTGACCTTCCTTCAGGTCAGGAACTCAGCGATCCGCAGGTCCGAGGATGAGGACCAATCGAACTGTTCGGTAGACAAAGTCTCGGTGCCGGAACAGAAACAATCCCCACCCACAGGGACCGGCACGATGGAAACCATGATGGCCCGACTGTTGGCCCACCTGGATAAGGTTGGCCAACGATTGGAGAGGTTAGAAAGCAGGTCAACAGCTGAGAATCAGGGCAAAAACGGGACAAAACATGGTCAGGTTGGACAGCCGCGACCTGCTGGTCCATCGCTCCGGTGGACGGCTGACGGTCGACCAATCGGTTTGTCCTGCTCTCAACCCGGACATGTGGCACGGTACTGTCCGGTGAAACGATCGCCCTCTGTAAGGCAAGACAAGGCTACAGAGTGGCGAGGTTATGGCTTAAGAAATAAAATGGGACAAACAATGAAAGAGTCTCAAACAGGACTTGAAGAGAAATCATCAGATATGGAAAAAGAACTTCAAATTACACAAGGAAAATTAGATTTGAAGCGTTCTGAACTTCAGAATTGTGAAACTAAGCTAACAGATACTATAGCCTTGGTAGAAGAACTTAAGAATTCAAAAGACTTGTTAATAATAGAAAAAATGAACTGTGAAATGAACTTGGATGTTGAAAAGTTTCAAGTGAACAATTTGTTGGCAGAGAAAAATTATGATAAGAAAGAAATTGGTAAACTTAAGAATGAGATCTCAATGTTAACCATGAAACTGGATAGGGAAAGTTCATGCAAATTAAAAGCACAGGAGAAATGTTCATCTTTAAAGTGTCTGTTGGCTGAAGAAGAAAATAAAAACATGAGACAACAGAACAGTGTTGGCAAACTAGAAGAAATGATAGAAAAAGAAAGGCTATTGAATCAACAGTTAGAAAAGCAAGTATTAGAACTAATGAAAAAGGTTGAAAATAATACACTTCTTATAGCAGATGAAGAAAAAGAAGTAGAAGTCTTGCACATTTCTATTGAAGAAGTAGAGGTGATGCAAAACGGGCAGACTGTGGTGGAGCACATATCCACAGAGCCCCTTCATATGGACATTAGTGATTTTAATTGCCTTAATCACAAAGAGATAAGAAATGCCCAGAAAACGGATAGTGGCTTACAGCCGCTGTTGAAATACGTCCAGGAACAAAAATTCCCAGGAAAAAGGGAAAGAGAACAGTTTGGTCGGGAAACAAAGAAACTACTGAGTCAGTGGGACCGTCTCAGTATAAAGGATGGTGTTCTCATTCGGAGAATTCATGACCAAATTGATGGGACAATACACCAGGTGGTGGTGCCTGGACAGTTACGAGAAGAAGTGCTAAAGTTGGCACATGACAGGGCAGGACACCAGGGTCAGGACAGGACGCACAAAATATTACGACGGCGGTGTTACTGGCCCAATATGGAGATGGAGGTCAAACGCCATTGTGAGGCTTGTGTGAGGTGTCAGCATGCGAAAATGCCAGTTGTCAAAATGAGACAGCCATCAGGACACCTACTAGCGACAAAACCACTAGAGATTGTGGCTATGGACTTTACGTCGTTGGAACAATCATCGGATGGGACGGAACATGTGTTGGTAATGACTGATGTATTCACCAAATGGACTGTGGCGGTGCCCACACGAGATCAGACTGCCAAAACAGTGGCAAAGGTCTTAATAGAACATTGGTTCATCAAATATGGCATACCAAGACAATTACACTCTGACCAAGGAAGGGCCTTTGAGTCAGAAGTAATTAACCAACTGTGCAGCCACTACGGGATCAACAAATCTAGAACAACCACATTTAATCCGAAAGGAAACGGACAGTGCGAGCGGTTCAACCGCAGCATGCATGATTTGCTGCGTACCCTAGAACCTGAACAGAAAAAACGTTGGCCTGATTTTCTCCCAGAGTTGGTATATCTATACAACTGCACCCCCCATGCCACAACCGGCTTTTCGCCACACATGTTGCTGTTCGGACGGGAGGCTCGACTCCCTCTTGACTTGTTCCTAGGAAAAAAGGAGAGTATGACTGGCTCATACACTGCACTGGAATATGTGAATGAACATATGAGACGAATTAGAGAAATGTACAAGGTAGTACAGGAAAGACTAGAACATGAAGCACGGCGAAGGGAACCGCCGGTACAGACAAAGGACCCGCCACTCAAACTGAACGACAGGGTATTACTGCGTAGCCACCCGTTAGGCAGAAACAAAATCCACGACCTCTGGGGACAGGAGATATGGCAAGTCGTGGAGATGCCTAAAGTAGCAGGTGGCCCCTTTAAGATAAGACCCATCGATCACACCAAACCGGATCGGTGGGCGAATATTGCTCAATTAAAGAAATATTGGCATCGTCAAGAAGAGCAGTTACACACAAGGAAACCCAAGACAATTAGGGAACCGGAAACTATAACGGAAATTCACATACCCATCCCGGAACCATGTCACCATCAACAGAACAACAGCGATACACAAGTGGAGGATAACGGCAACGAAGAGGATCCCGTTCCTCCCAGAAGCAGAGAGACAGTAGACCATCAGATAAGTGGTCCGCGGAGAAGTTTGAGAAACAGAAAGAATACGAAATTTTTTGTCAGCAACCATCAATTCTTTCATGGTCGCGCTGGTATGAGAACAGACTGTTCAAAAAGTCATACAAGTGAACTGGTGAAGGCACCAAACGAAAAAAGGTGGATGTGAATTCTAGAACTGTTTTGTGTCTGAGGAAGATGATGTAGACACATTTGATATGTGAAATAGGGATAACCGTCAATCTTATACGAATGTGACGACATTGACAGTGAGTGTAACAATAATTTTTTTTACGGTGGTGCGATTGACTTTGAAGGACTGCACCTGCCAAGCGTTGTTTGTGGTTGATAACACACAAAAAAGGCAGGGGTGGATGTAACTAGGGGAAGTTACCAGAGATATAAGAACGCAGTACAGCGCTGTCAACTTTGACACGACTGATGTAATAACGCAGGTGTTGGCTGATAACGATCAGAAAGCCAAGGCGTAGTATCTTGGGAAGCGATACGAGAAGAACGCAATACGGTCTGTCAACTTTGATGTGACAGGATGCAGATGGCTTATTAAATCGGACTGTACGACAGAAGCGGCGTAATTAACATTCTGATGCAACGATTAGAATCGATTACGATTACGATTATGATAGAACCGAATACGATTACGAATACGAAGGGGATATATAGGAAGGCGACGGCTGAGCTCGGTGTCTCTCGCTCTCTCTCTCGATCAGTCAGTCAGTGTGGCAGTATCAAGTTGGTTATTGAACGGGTTAGCCGTATTGTGTTAAGAAGGACGATAGACATGTGCATTCAGTTATGTGAAGCCTAGTTAGGACTGTTGGGGGTCAGTTGATTCAGACTATTATTGTGAAGCATTCCTTTTGATTCATTATATTATTGTGAAGCATTTCTTTGATTCATGTAATAAAAGGATCAATAGCGAACCTGCATCTTCGAGTATCTATACTGTGGTCGATGTTGTGAAGAATGAGTGGTTAGACTCGGTAACATTTGGCGTTGTCGAGCAGAACTCGTTAACATTTGGCACTACAGGCAAATAGCCTCGTTACATATATATATATATATATATATATATATATATATATATATATATATATATATATATATATATATATATTGTAGTAAACACAGTTGGTTTATAACACTGAAATTTAGAGCTAAAATAAATCTAAACCAAATCTCACGGACAAATGTTCCCAGGACAAATGATCTCAGGACAAATTCTTCTTCTTCGTTCTTAATTTTTAGTGTTGGGAGGGATCGACCCTTATCTGCCAGTGGGTTTGAACTCGAGACTTTTTTCGAATTTATCAACCATGAGCTTTGCCGACTCGACCATGCTTCCATCACAATTAAGGATACGTGTAAACTGGTTATGCGCCATTGAGGCCATTGACTCCGATTTCAGCCTGCTTTTCTTTTTGGATTTGCTTCCATAGTCTTTGTCCAACCAAGAACAAACTACAAGGCAGAAGTTGTTTGATTTTTGGAGTTGTCTCTCCTAGAAGAGTGGCTGTCCCCGGCTAACGAGGACAAATGATCTCAGGACAAATGATCTCAGGACAAATGATCTCAGGACAAATGATCTCAGGACAAATGATCTCAGGACAAATGATCTCAGGACAAATGATCTCAGGACAAATGATCTCAGGACAAATGATCTCAGGACAAATGATCTCAGGACAAATGATCTCAGGACAAATGATCTCAGGACAAATGATCTCAGGACAAATGATCTCAGGACAAATGATCTCAGGAAAAATGATCTCAGGACAAATGATCTCAGGACAAATGATCTCAGGACAAATGATCTCAGGACAAATGATCTCAGGACAAATGATCTCAGGACAAATGATCTCAGGACAAATGATCTCAGGACAAATGATCTCAGGACAAATGATCTCAGGACAAATGATCTCAGGACAAATGATCTCAGGACAAATGATCTCAGGACAAATGATCTCAGGACAAATGATCTCAGGACAAATGATCTCAGGACAAATGGGCAGCAGGTTGGGACATTTAACTTTGTAGGGCTACATATTTGTTTACAGACTAGGGCTAAGGCTAGGGCGATGGGCTAGGGTTACGGCCTAGGACTACAGGTAGGGAAAAAAAATATGAAAGCAATTTAGTTGAATTTACAGCAGGATACTTGACTGTTTAAAACTTCAGACCAAAGACGGATAACTGGTAGAAAAGAAGCGACTTTTACAAAAATATAAAAGGGGAACAATCCTTACCTTATATTCAGATAAAAGCTGGTAGCGTGGCTCAAGCTATCTGTAGGTGGGTATCGGGATTTGAACGGTTTTGTACTCACGTTAGTTGCACATGCGCAGTAACTGGTCACGTGGGAACGATGCGCTAATCAGGGGCATGCGAGTGTCTGGTCAGTGGAGGCACGTGAGTGGTCGTCTACATGTAAGAACGTGCGTGAGTACAGGACTAGCCCACATCTCACTTGTTAGTTTGATACTAATTATAGATTTTAAAACCATTGCCGCATTGAAGGTTTACACTTAATTAAACATTAATGAAGATAGAGAACACACAATTAAAAATATCTGGTCAATCAAATGTATTTTACGTGTGCCTTTGGTAGAGGCAGGTGAGTCAGTGGTAGAGGCAGGTGAGTCAGTGGTAGAGGCAGGTGAGTCAGTGGTAGAGGCAGGTGAGTCAGTGGTAGAGTCAGGTGACTCAGTGGAAGAGGCAGGTGAGTCAGTGGTAGAGGCAGGTGAGTCAGTGGTAGAGGCAGGTGAGTCAGTGGTTGAGGCAGGTGAGTCAGTGGTAGAGGCAGGTGACTCAGTGGAAGAGGCAGGTGAGTCAGTGGTTGAAAGGTGAGTAAGTGGTAGAGGCAGGTGAGTCAGTGGTAGAGGCAGGTGAGTCAGTGGTAGAGGCAGGTGAGTCAGTGGTTGAAAGGTGAGTAAGTGGTAGAGGCAGGTGAGTCAGTGGTAGAGGCAGGTGAGTCAGTGGTTGAAAGGCGAGTAAGTGGTAGAGGCAGGTGAGTCAGTGGTAGAGGCAGGTGAGTCAGTGGTAGAGGCAGGTGAGTCAGTGGTAGAGTCAAGTGAGTCAGTGGTAGAGGCAGGTGAGTCAGTGGTAGAGGCAGGTGAGTCAGTGGTAAAAGCAGGTGAGTCACTGGTAGAGTCAGGTGAGTCAGAGGTAGAGACAGGGAACTTAGTGGTAGAGTCACACACACGCACACACACATATATATATATATATATATATATATATATATATATATATATATATATATATATATATATATATATATATATATATATATATATATATATATACAAAATGCATACTTTATGAAATTAATCTAGCTTAATCCTAATCGCATTCCATTATTGCGACATTCTTAAAATTGACTGAGTTTTTTCTTTCCGTTTCAATATTTTCTGTATTTGTAAGTAGCACGCATTGTTTATTTTATGATAATAAGATTTTTTTTAATAACAGTGGCAATCCAATGCGGGTTCAAAGGGTAATAATTTTTTTTTAATTATATTCACATGATTCATACATAAGCTTTACATAGATTAGCCCGTATCGATTCTATAAGCTGTGCAGAGATTAGCCACAGACTGACTACAGCTGTACAGAGATTAGCACTGACTACGACTGTACAGAGATTAGCCACACACTGACTACAACTGTACAGAGATTAGCACTGACTACAGCTGTACAGAGATTAGCACTGACTACAGCTGTACAGAGATTAGCCACACACTGACTACAGCTGTACAGAGATAAGCCACAGACTACAGCTGTACAGGGATTAGCCACACACTGACTACGACTGTACAGAGATTTGCCACACACTGACTACGACTGTACAGAGATTTGCCACAGACTACAGCTGTACAGAGATAAGCCACACACTGACTACAGCTACAGAGATTAGCCACACACTGACTACAGCTGTACAGAGATTAGCCACACACTGACTACAGCTACAGAGATTAGCCACACACTGAATTCAGCTGTACAGAGATTAGCCACACACTGACTACAGCTGTACAGAGATTAGCACTGACTACAGCTGTACAGAGATTAGCCACACACTGGCTACAGCTGTACAGAAATTAGCCCCACACTGACTACAGCTGTACAGAGATTAGCCCCACACTGACTACAGCTGTACAGAGATTAGCCACACACTGACTACAACTGTACAGAGATTAGCCACACACTGACTACAGCTACAGAGATTAGCCACACACTGACTACAACTGTACAGAGATTAGCCACACACAGACTACAGCTGTACAGAGATTAGCCACACACAGACTACAGCTGTACAGAGATAAGCCACACACTGACTACAACTGTACAGAGATTAGCCACACACTGACTACAGCTGTACAGAGATTAGCCACACACTGACTACAGCTGTACAGAGATAAGCCACACACTGACTACAATTGTACAGAGATTAGCCACACACTGACTACAGCTGTACAGAGATTAGCCACAGACTAACTACAGCTTTGCAGAGATTAGCATTGACAACAGCTGTACAGAGATTAGCCACACACTGACTACAGCTGTACAGAGATTAGCCACACACTGGCTACAACTGTACAGAGATTAGCCACACACTGACTACAGCTGTACAGAGATTAGCCACAGACTACAGCTGTACAGAGATTAGCCACACACTGACTACAGCTGTACATAGTTGGGTTCCGAACGGTTAACTTCAAGGTTAAATAGGCATGACGTTTCTTCTTTCGACCACCGCGCCTCACATTAATTTGGCTAAATTTCATAATTTTGTATATAGACCTAAATATCAAGTATTTATAAATCGTAGGTCCTAATACTGAGAAAATCCACAGAACTATTTAACACACACACAGACTTACACGCACGCACACATACACACTTTAAAATATAAACATATCAACAAATAAACAATAAAAAAACATAAAAGGTATACATTTATTTGTCAATGTGTAAGTATCGACAAAACTTATACGGGTCATAGAAGCGGCTATAAGGACCCTAGTCCTAATACCGGCCGGACATTTTAGAACCCGGGTCCATATAGGAACTTTCTTTATAGCTATTTAAATTGTGATTGATTAATATAGATTTAAAGAAAATCAGTGTTTTGTACTACTCGTTCATAATTATATATAAGTTTTTTTTTTTTAAATCAATATTTAAATTTTTTAATTCAGTAAAATTGCATGAGTAAATACAATGGGCTGCCAAATTAACACAAAAAAATGTGCGGAAAATTATTACTTTATTATGAAACTGTAACGAATTCTTTAACATTAATTAAGCAGATAAGGCTCATAACTGGGGACAGCCACTCATCCCGGAGAGACAACTCCAAAATCAAAACAACTGCTGCCTTGTAGTTTGTTCTTTGTTGGACAAAGGCTACGGAAGCAAATCCAAAATAAAAATCAGGCTGAAATAGGAGTGAACGGTCTATATGGCAAATAAATAGTTGACAAGTAGGCCTACACTTAATTGTGTAGGAGGGAATCCCTTTCAACACTATAATTAAGAACGAAGAAGAAGAATTAAGCAATCATCTAAGTCAAATTTGATGACATATTGCATTGTCATTGAAACTTGACCCGTGTGCCAGGATATTGGTCCGTTTGAAGTAGTTGAAATCAAATACAAAAACAGGATCTGCGCCAACTTGATTGCAATTAGCTGTAGAAATTATAACAAAAGCATGTATGTATTTCTTTAACACAAAATGTGCTGAATTGATACTTCTAAAATAAAAAATAACTATGTAACAACATGCTCATTAGGTTAACAATATCCATATTAAATTTCTAATACATTTTAGTGTATTTATTGGAAGGTATTGTAAAAATGTTATAATAAAATCTGCGACTACTTAAACATTATATAGAAACAATTTAGAAATACTATTTTAAAATAGGCTGACATAGTGCTGTGGCTTAAAATATACTGGTGAAGTTCTATTATTGCGCAAAATGGAAGACATACAATTTAAACAGGGGAGATTAAATTTCTTGGTACAAGCGTAGTCGTAAATCCAGCTAAAACTTTAAAAAATGAAACATTATATAATCCTTGGGCGACCACCAGATTGCACGCAGCTTTTGTGCTACATTGTGTAAAATACAAGGAGCTTCCAAAATAATACTGTTAAGTCAATAACCTGAATAGTTATTGAGACACAGAATAAATGCCCCTATGGTTGGCAAAGCAGTTTTGTTGTTAATAAATCCAGGTATATGTGTTTCAGTATAAAAGAATGCGTTAAGGATTAAGTTAGATATATTGCATGCAGAATGTCTTTTGTGATATGCTTATAGATGAAAATATTAATCCTAATATATAAAAGACCATGTGCGCACCTCTCTCTCTCTCTGTCTCTCTCTCTCTCTCTCTCTCTCTCTCTCTCTCTCTCTCTCTCTCTCTCTCTCTCTCTGTCCACAACATTTTTGAGGCTATGTTATCAGTAAGTTCAGCGATATATGGAGAACTTAAAGACACGGACTTTTGTTGAAAATAGTATGGTGGATGTTTTAAATGTATAAACTAAATTTTATTTTAAGAAAAAAACATAACAATAAAGGCATATTCAAATGTAGAAACACATTTTTGATTATGCAAACGGAAAAGTATTTATTGTTGTGACAAGATCGCTAAAAACTATGACGTCACATATCACATGTTTAAACTAAGGAAACTACACAAAACTAATGGCGTCATCTTCCAATATTAGAATATGAAGAAATGAACTATTTCATTCAAATTTGATTTAGATCTATAGATCTACTAATCAAGACGTACGATATGAAATGTATACAATTTTCACAACCAAAAGTAATACAAATTACTTTTTAAAAAAACAACATAAATACCATTGAACAGCCGGGTTTTTAACAGAATCATTTGTCTCTTAATCAGTGTGTGCATTTAATACGGGGTTGTGTTGACTAATAGTGTATATAATTTGGTTTTAATTTTTCTAATAGCTATCGGTAGCCTAGGTTATTTTAAATGTGTCGGATGTTTACAAATTCAGTTATTTCTTTGCTTTGTCACTAATACCGTTCAACGTTTAGTAAAACTCGTCGCTTTTTGACCAATAACTATTTTATAAAATATTTTCCTCAAACAAGTACAACATTAATTTATATGCCTATAATTCACTTCTAACGGGTACCGACGGCTAGTATAAAATATTGGTCATCACTTGAAATGGTAATCTCTATTCGTTGATTGAACAGATAATGTGCGTGGTAATAACGTTAATGACGTTTGGAAAAAGACTGGATGGTAGAGAATAAAAGAAACA